TGGTAGCCAGCAGACAGTAGATCAGGAACTCATAAAGGAAGTTGCAAACAGTCATCTCTGATGAATCCCAGAGTGTGACTCAACCACAGTGACTGAAATAGGTGCACAGAAAATTGTGCCTGGAGCAAACAGCCTCCTAATTTCAAGGACAAAGAGCTCCCCACCAGAGGCACCCCACCAGAGATTCTGGGAAGATGCTAATAAGGGCCACACTGGAACTTCTGCATCCCAGGCTGGGTACCTGGTAATTCGTATTAACAGTGGTGGATAGGAAACTTTAGTCCCTATACCCTGAAAGTGGATTTTAATGAAAACCTCAAGATCCAGACATCCAACAGAGATCAGAATCACCTCAACAATAGGGGGCCTCCAGCAAATCTCAAATACCTACCAGAGTTCCAAAGTTCAGCCAAGACTAAACCCCAACTACTGCAACTTCCAGTTTTGAACTCTACACCACCCCCACTACAGGAATACACCATTTGTCAGCCTCCCAGGTGGATCCCACCCTTTACTGAGAGACTGAAAGCTAAGAGATCTCCCTAGCCACAAGGACTGCAGCTGGTTAGGATACAAAGATGTGAGTCCTAACAACCCCCAGCTCTTCACCCGAGAATTACAGAGCCAACAATAGATATAAACAATGCAAAACAATAGATATAAAAAATGCAAACCCCTCTCTTTCAAGAGTTTGACCACCTCAGAGGAAACAAGATTTTTATTTCCCATTAAATTTTTTTTCTGTTTTTACTCATCTCCGTTTTTTCCCTTTTTTCTATGTATTCTCCCTAATTTTTTTCTCTTCTTTTTTTCCCCTAATTTTTACATGGTTAAAAATTTAAAATTTTTTATTGTATTTTTTTTCCATTTTCTGTAAGTTTTGGTGTATGTGTGTGTGTGGGTATTGTCACTGTGTGAATAGGTTTAAAAAATATATATTTATGTAATTTTACTTCATATAATTGCTTTCTTTTGCACCTGTTTATGATTTAGCCTTGTTTTGACTTAGGTGGGATATAATTATATTTAGGCTTTAACTGTTTTGATCTTACATTTGCTTATTTGTTTGTATACTGGTTTTTGTCCTTAGTATCACTTCTTTAGTTTCTCCACACCCCAATACCAAATTTTCATGCTCCCTCCCTGGTATTGATAGTACTGATGCTCACCTCAACATTCCTATATAGGTGGCAATTATTGCTATAGATGTCAAAGTGGACAGCAGAAACCTTACTTCTGTTGCTAACAGTAGTGCTATTCCTGACTCCCACTTCCTGTAAGAGGGGCTGGAAAGTGACTGGGAATTTCAAGATCATAGAGTCGAGATCTCACTGTGGAGCAATACTCACA